GTAAAGAATGTGGGAAAGCCTTTCGTCAGACCTCACAGCTCAGGGTACATCTAAGAATTCACAGTGGAGAGAGACCTTATGAATGTAAGGAATGTGGGAAAGCATTTAGTGTAGCCTCATCACTCACAAAACATATAAGAACTCACAGTGGAGAGAAGCCTTATGAATGTAAGGAATGTGGGAAAGCGTTTACGTCTTCCTCGTATCTCACTATACATATAAGATCTCACAGTGGAGAGGGACCTTATGAATGTAAGGAATGTGGGAAAGCATTTAGTGACGCCTCATCACTCAGAAAACATATAAGAACTCACAGTGGAGAGAGGCCTTATGAGTGTAAGGAACGTGGGAAAGCCTTTATTCGGGCCTCATCCGTCAATAAACATGTAAGAACTCACAGTGGAGAGAGGCCTTATGAGTGTAAGGAATGTGGGAAAGCCTTTATTTGGGCCGCATCCCTCAATAAACATGTAAGAACTCACAGTGGAGAGAGGCCTTATGAGTGTAAGAAATGTGGGAAAGCCTTTACTCGGGCCTCATCCCTCAATGTACATGTAAGAGCTCACAGTGGAGAGAGGCCTTATGAGTGTAAGGAATGTGGAAAAGCCTTTAGTTATTCCTCAAGCATCATTAAGCATATAAGATCTCACTGTGGAGAGAATCCTTTTGAATGTAAGGAATGTGGGAAAGCCTTTAAGAGTTCCTCACACCTCACTTCACATACAAGAACTCACAGTGGAGAGAAGCCTTATGAATGTAAGGAATGTGGGAAAGCCTTTAGTTGGGCCTCATCCCTCAAAACACATGTAAGAACTCACACTTGAGAGAGGCCCTATGAATGCCAGGAATGTGGAAAAGCCTTTATTCGGGCCTCATACCTCACTGCACATGTTAGAACTCACAGTGGAGAGAGGCCCTATGAATGTAAGGAATGTGGGAAAGCCTTTAGTCGGTCATCACTTCTCACTGTACACATAAGAACTCACAGTGGAGAGAAGGCTTATGAATGTAAGGAATGTGGGAAAGCGTTTACATCTTCCTCGTATCTCACTATACATATAAGATTTCACAGTGGAGAGGGACCTTATGAATGTAAGGAATGTGGGAAAGCATTTAGTGATGCCTCATCACTCAGAAAACATATAAGAACTCACAGTGGAGAGAGGCCTTATGAGTGTAAGGAATGTGGGAAAGCCTTTATTCGGGCCTCATCCCTCAATAAACATGTAAGAACTCACAGTGGAGAGAGGCGTTAGGAATTCAAGGAGTGTGGATAGGCCTTTACATGTTCCTCAAACCTTACTGTACATAAAAGAACTCACAGTAGAGAGAGGCCTTAGGAATGTAAGGAGTGTGGGAAAGCCTTTAGTTGGGTCTCTGCCTTCAACATACATATAAGATCTCACAGTGAAGAGAGACGTTATCGATGTAAGGAATGTGGGAAAGCCTTTATTCAGACCTCATTTCTCATTCAACATACAAGAATTCACAGTGGAGAGAGAAGCCTTATAAATGTAAGGTATGTAGGAAAACCTTTAAGTGTTCCTCATACCTAACTTCACACATGAGAACTCATAGTGGGGAGAGACTTTAGGAATGCAAGGAATGTGGGAAGGTTTTTATTCAGGTCTCAGCTCTAACTACACATATAATAAGTCACACTGTAGAGAGGCCCTATGAATGTAAGGAGTGCAGGAAAGCATTTATTCAGGTCTCAACTCTCACTATGCATATAAGAACTCACAGTAGAGTTAGACCCTATGAATGTAAGCAATGCGGGAAAGCCTTTAGTCAGTCATCACACCTCAGTAGACATAAAAGAACTCACAGTGGACAAGCCTTGTAAATGTAAGGGATGTGAAAGAGCTTTAAGTTTTCCTGTTCCTCACTTCAGTTTAAGAACTCATTGGATGGTGGGGATGTGTAGAGATTGGGACTGTCATATACAGTCATACACTGCTTGTGTGACTGTGAAGTGACACAACCACTGTGGAAAGCAATATGGCGATTCCTTAGAAAGTTGGAATTGCAGATAGCATTTGACCCAGCAATTCCATTACTAGGTATATATTCTAGAGAGGTGAGAGCCGGGATAGGAGATACATGCATGCTCATGTCCATCACAGCACTATTTATAGTAGCAAAAAGATGGAAACAACCTAGGTGCCATCAGTGGAAGAGTGGATGACCAAACTATGGTACATACACATACTAGAATTCTATGTAGCACTAAAGAATAATGTAGAGTCTGCAAAACACTGCATAATATGGATGAATGTGGAGGACATTATGCTGAGTGACATAAGTCAATCATAGAAGGACAAATATAGTATTAGTTCATTGTTGTGGAGGGTCAAGGAAAGGTTTATATGTGGAGGGAAACTTTCTTTGTTCGTTGTCAGGGGTGGGAGGTTAGGGGAGGAAACAGCAAAAAAAACTCCATTGACCTATGTCACTTTAGTTTTGTGTATTTCACTGTACATAAATTATATTTCAATAAAACGCATTAAAAAAAAAGAATGTGGTACAGTATCTGTTCCCCGGTTTTGATTATTGCATTACCGTGATGTGACATAATATCATTTGCAGAAGATGGAAAAGGGAACATGGAAACTTTCTATAGTCTTTTTGCAACTTCTCGTGAGTCGTAAACTATTTGAAAATAAAAAGTTGTAAGGTATGAGAAATAAAAATTTTAAAAGTGGAAAAGAAAAAAAAGTCATTGGAGATACTATTCTAGTCAAAAGTGGTAAGTTGCATTTTTATTGATACAATGTCAAACAGCAAATTTCCAGATGTCTGCAATTAGAAAAAAAAAATTTTCTCAGTGAGTAAGAAACCAATTCAACTTATAAGAGGGGTCATTAGAGCTACTTTGTGCCTTTGGGAGAAATGACAGTCATGGTAACGGATTGTCATCAGAGTTTGTTATGTTCTTTCTACAAGCTAATATTTACCTTTCTTTGTCTTTTTCTATTACAAATAAGGCTTCAGGGAATAATTTTGAGCAAATATGGTTCTATATTTTTTCATGTTTTATTGATGTTATTTTGTGTACAATAAAATACACTGATCTTGTATTTGGTTTAAGAGTGTTTTATTTACATATTTATTGTATTTTCTTCCCTTTTTACCTACTAGAAAATTAACTGTTTTACCCTTTATTATTGGTAATTTTCTTGTAGGACAATACTTTGAGAGTGTGCAAATATTAGGGTTTCCATCATCCTTTGGCCTACTACTCTAGTAGCCATTGATGATTGTTCCTATGGTTGTTGTTATTACTGTGGTATTTACCAAATGGTATTTTCTCTTAGAATGATTTCTTCTATGTTTGTTAATTAGAATTCTGCCAGAAATAACTTTCCCATCTGATGTCTTTATTTATTTATTAATATTTTTATAGCAGTATAGGCTAATCCAGGAGCGCTGGTAGCATAGTGCCTAAAGCACTTGACTGCTAACCAGAAGGCTGGCAGTTAAACCCACCAGCTACTCCTCAGAAGGAAGGCTGGGCAATCTACTTCCGTAGTGACACTGCCTCAGAAACCCAAGGAGTGGTTGCTATGAGTCGAGGCCAACCCCTCAGCACATAACAACAACAACAGCAACATAGGCTAATCCATACTTCTTTTTTAAATTTATTTTATTATTATTATTATTTATTTTTGCAAATTGCCTCCGCTACCCTCCCACCTGGTAAACAACAAAGAAAGTTTCCTTCCGTATATGTAAAACTTTCCTTGACTTTTTACAATAATGAGCTAATACAATATTTGTCCTTCTGTGATTGACTTATTTCAATCAGCATAATGTCATCCAAGTTCATCCACATTAAGTAGTGTTTTGCAGATTCTACATTATTCTTGAAGGTTGAATATTATCCCATTGTGTGCATGTACCATAGTTTGGCTATCCATTCTTCTGTTGATGGACACCTTAGTTGTTTACATCTTTTTGCTCTTGTAAAAATAGTGCTGAGATGAACATAGGCGTGCATATATCTGTTCTTGTCCC